CTGACATAACGCGGAGCCCTACGCATGCAGGTTCCTACCACAGTGCTGTTCATGCAACAGCGTGCTGTGCTGGTGCCTCTGCTCATTTCATAAATAGCATAAGGGGGACAGGAAAAAATAAAATGTAGAATGAAACTCAGAATACTGCTAAAAAGTTTAAATTAATTGCCAACAAATACATTATTTTACTGTTGAATCGTGTAAATGCCATAGTGTTTCATTTGCCTCTTTTCTGAGATATTAGATGATAGAAATAATTGTAGGATAAAATTTTTCCACAGAAAATATCTGTTACATTAAAATTCATGTGTAAATTTTTAAATGACATAACCATATTGATTTAGAAATGCAGGATTTCAAGGGAAAACATGAAACATTAAAATTCTAGGCTAAAACCTCGGGTTTCACTTATAGCCCTAGGCATATCCCTTCACCCTCCCATGTGCTGATATACTGATCAACTACAGGAAAATCAGCTAATATTCCTTTAACAGAACTGATCATTCTTCTCAATAGAGAAATTATCAATCCTAGTAAAACTGTAGTTTACAAACCAAGTAATTATAGCCTAGAATTCTGGAATATGGGTTCATTTAATGCAGGTCAACATGTAACAGTTTAGGGTATATATAGAACATTACTTCTCCAAGATCTAACACACTTTTAGAGATTTGCTCTGAAACTGAAAAGCAAGTTCCACCTAACTATTGATCATGGGGAACATGAGTGGCAATGGAGGATGAAGAAATAAAGGAAATGATAGCTCCTAGGGTTAAAGTTATTATATTTACAAAAGGTATTAAAGTAACTTAGAAGAACAACTTCACTTCTTACAAGGAGGCTTGACATTTTTGTAAACTATCAAAGCGTGGAGAGTAAATAATGCCTCCTTCTGTCTCCTATCATTTCTGGTTGCTTGACTTCAAGATTCCACCAGAGAAACTGTTGACAGAGAGCAGCTGGCACTGTTGATTGCTACATCAATTCCCAAACTACTAGAACCTGTTGTTTTCATTTGCAGTAACTTCAAGACCCACCAATAACCTTTGTAGATAAATTCCCTCCCTGTCCTCCTTCATGATGCGTCGTCACTCGAGCCGTTAAGAATGAAGTTGAAACGTCCAACCATGGTGCTGGTGACAGTTTATCAGGCCTAGGTTAGCTTCATGGATACCCAGAGAATGTAAAAACAACTTAAACTCAAAATTGCTTCCCAAATTCAGGCGACAAGTAATGTGTGCTCAAGGGGGAGGAATCACAGTCTCTCTGCTCAAAGTTTCTGTGTCAGTCAGAGGCCTCTGACTCACCACGCGACAGCAGCAGCTCTGACAGTGAGCTACTGGCTTCCTTTGGCAGCCACGATAGTGAGACTTAGCTGTACATGTCAAATGCAAAGTAGAGAAGACAGAGACTATGCATTTGTTTTAAACTATACCACTTAGGATACTCAGTGAAGAAAAAGCAAGGGGAAAAATCCTAAATGGCACTGATCCCCCTCTCTTGCTAAAAATTGTACTTGTCATTTTCCATAAATTGTGCAGGTAACATGCAGCCATGTGAGCATATTCTAGAAGTTCCCCCGAGTAGAATTCCTTGATCTCTGAAGTAATCAACTGCTTAGCACAGATTTCTAAGACTTAAACACTTGGGTCCATGCAGAGTTCAGCACAGTGCCTGGCCTACAGCAGCACTCAGTACCCCGTCTCACCTCTGTCCTCATTTCCCGAGGACGGATGTAGATTAAGGTCTGGATGATTCCCTGAGTTTCTCTTCAACTGTACTTTTATCATTCAAAGCAAAGCTCTTTGTAAACTTCCTTTCTTATTATCATCAAATGAAGGGGATAATTTTTTAAAAATAGTGACAGCATCTTTGAAGAAATGGGGTTGCTTCTCTTTATAAAAGGATCTTATTCTTATAAAATGAAATCATTTGCTCGGTTTTAAACACTGCATTAAGCTATTTCCATAGCACCTGGGGTTTGGCCAAAGGATGGGAAGACAGTTGCAAATCTACTTTCTCTTTTGTCCTCACCTGCAGAAAAATTTTGTCTCTGACACAGAAAATGCAAATATTCTATACTCTCAGCGATTCAAAGACAGCTGAGGGACTAAAGCAGAACCAGAGAGCCAATTAGAAAGGAACCTCCTAGTGTTAGGGCTTACCTCAAGGGGAGAAGAATATCTTGAAGCTTTGTGTTAGCAGAGAATTTTCTACAGGATGTTTTAATAAAAATGATGAAAACTTTACATCTCTTCAACAACAGACATGTGACATAACCTGACTATTTCACAGTTCAAGAACGAAAGGAGAATATAACAATAATTATAATTTAATAGGCTTAATGCTATAATTAAATTCACAAATGTAGTCTCCTCATACGAATGACCCCTTTGGAAGTGAGCCAATTTCTCTTTCTGCTTTAAATTGTGTACAATTGATGTTACTTTGTCATTTAAAGCAGTGAGCACTGTTCATTGACCGTCTGCCAGGAGACTTTTTATAATGATATAAAAACCATATCACTCTGGGAGGAAATCATTATTAATACAATCTTTCCATGAATTATAAAAAATAGAAAAGGTTTCTATCTTATGCTGCCATCATAGGGGAGAATATTAACTCAACTGTTTGTTTTTCACAGGGTGCTTTGCTATGACACTGGGGTATTTTTCTCATGTCTATTTTCATTCAATTTACAACATGTCCAACGTTAAAAGCAGTCTTGTTTACTAAGCAAGTGCTGATTAAGTGAACACTGGGCAATAACAATGAAAAGTCATTTGTGGGTGATACTTCTTCCCTCAGGAAGCCAGAGTATCAATTGCAAAAAAGAAATACTGCACAGGAGACAGCAGTGGACAGTTCTGAGGCAGCTTGTAAACGAGTAAGTGTGGTCAAGGTCGAAACTAAAGCAAAGCGGGATCTAATTTGAAAGAGAACATAGTGATGTAGGCCACATCAATATGGAGTAATGTTTTGCTCACTTTTCCCTTGTGTTAATTTCTCACCTGGTTTTAATCATTTTAAAAGCATTCCAGTTTTATAACTATCGTTTCCTCCTGTATAAAAAATCAACCACCCCAATAGGAAGAAATACGGAGCTAGTGTTGCAGTTAGCAGCAAACACAGTAAAGCTGACGATTCCTGCCACTCACAGAACAAGCCGTGGGGAAGCCTGTCCGAGCCGCTTACTCCTCTCCTCTCAGGACTTTTGTAGCAAGTATGTTCTGTATCAGACGACACAGCACTAAATGAGTGGCTCTTTTCCTTGTTCTGCCTCAAATGCTTTATGCTGCTCACTATTGTTTTGTCATAAGCTCTAGTTGGACTGTTACCTCCTTCTGCTTTGAAGCTGGTGCTATGGTCATCAGCGTCGGGCATATACTAGAGATCCAGGGACTGCGGGGAGACCGATTACTAGGATGACCGAACACATCATACTATAAGGTTGAAACAGGCAAAATAAGTGGCTTTTAAAAATAACATAATTATTACTACCATGTGGGAATATCATTATTCTTTATGTCTTAATATAGAAGATTTTAAAAATCTAAAATATATGAGGCTATATAGAAGTCCTAAAATTACCCACAAATACTGAATAACTGGTTAGAGTCTACAACCGGTGACACTACTGACAGTCTTAGAAAATTCATTGCAATTATCATCTTCTACCAACAGAAAGATCTTATACAAGAGAAAGCCATGGAAGAAAAATATCTGTTTGTTAACTATGCCTATTCTAAAAGCAGTTATATCAAAACACTTCTGGGGCTTATTTACCATTTCTAGATTTAAAACAAGGGCCTCTTAAGAAAAGGGGTAAGAGCTATGAATCTATTTGAACGGTTAGAATGAGCCTTAGATTTTCAATTTTTTTTTTATCCACTGCATGTAAGGCTACACAAATGAACCTTGAAGCAACACTAGGTGAATATATTCTCATAAATTACTAGAATTTTTTTTTTCTTTCTTTTGCTTTTTTTTTTGCAGTACCAGGGATCTAATTCATGACCTTGCGCCTGCTGGGCAGGCGCTGTGCTGCTGAGCTAAATCCCCAGCCCCCTAAATTACTAGAATTCTTTTGAAACTCTCACTTTTCCATATAAGATGAAAGATAAGATTATTACAAGACTTGACACATTAACAAATAACACCTAATTAGTTGAATAATTCTTTGATTAAACCTTAATTTTCCTTGCTTCTCATGCAGCAACTCGAATTATGCTACATTATTTGCTCCTTTTCAGGCTATTTTAGAACAGGTCCTGAGGAGTCTCGGCAGGTTACCTGAAGGGAATTTCTTCTTACCTGACAGCAGACGCACACGGTCTGGACAAAAAGGACACTTTAGCATAAGTCCCCTCCCAGCAAAGCCATCCCCACAGAAAGGAACGCCTTTTTGGAAATCTGGAGGAAAAATCCTGAGAAGGTGAGAAAGATGAACGCTTAGGGCTGCATGTATTTGCTTGGCTGTTCTGGGCACAAAGCAAGAGAAGACATGAAGATCACTAAAGGGAGAGGAGCCCCACATCAGCCTTTGCCCCTTTGTCCTGACGCTGAAAGAGAGAACAGAACAACAGTGGGCAGCATCCGCTCAGAAGCACTGCGTCCGTTTCTGTGTACATTCCAGATTGATTTAGACAAACATGACACCTCAGATGGCTTTCACACACTTCAAGTAATCCGAAGGCAACTCTCACGGGGGTGTGGGGGGGATGGTGAGCTACGCAAGCCCATAATTAAATGAACATTTTCTCTTGTTTTCCCTTTCCTTTTAGCTTAACTCTATATGCAGCCTGCAGTTTACTGATGAAGGCATACAACAAGTTTTTGTTACTTCTGAGCTTCTGTCTCCAGAGATACGACTGATAAGTCCCGTGCAATCTGTAGAGAGGGTTATTTGCAATGCTTGGAAACCTGTCGTCTTTTTATTTTTAATTTTTTAATTTTTTTTTTTTTTTTTTTGGTTTTTCTCCGGTACCGGGAACCGAACTCACGACCTTGCGCTTGCCAGGCAGGCGCTTTTGCCGCTGAGCTAAATCCCCAGCCCCCCTGTCATCTTTTTAAATAACAAGATTATTTCTACTAATGAACAAAGAGGCTATACTGAGTTAAACATCGGTTTTGTCACTCAGATAAATACTGTACATCAAGAGCTTAATTCAATGACCATATCACGTTTCTGGCAAGGTAAGAGATGGAGGATCTAAAGGTAAATGTTTCCTGAAAGTGTGTAAAGGGTAGGAAAAAAAAACTTGCTAGAAAGAGATGTACAATAACATATGATAATTATATCAGAGAGATAAAGGCCATGGCAGAAAAGGAAACCACAATTTTGCTCTGTCTGGGAAATACCACGGCCACTAAGTAGGACATATTATGCTTGTGAATAGTGTGTTTTAAATGTATGTGGAAGTGCATGATTGAAGCCATATCTTAACTCTGTAATGTCTGTGTATTCCATTTTATAGGTGAAGAAAATGTGTCAGAAAAGTTGATAAACTTGCTTTCCTTCATTTGCATTTTTTCTTCATTTAACTCCTTTTACGGAAATAGCCACTCTACTTTGTTCTACTTCATTCTTTGCCTTCCTCCCTATTCCACGGCTCTAACAATCTTTTCTCTCATTTGCTTCTGAAATCTTTCTGTAGTTCGCTTAATGTGTTGTAATACTAGTGTGTCATTTCTGGGTACCTGGGGAACCCTAAGTCCTGGGTTTTAGTTCATAGCAGAGTAAGAGGAAGGTCCGTACTCCAGACTGCAGGACATCTGAGAAGTGACTTAAATTGCAACACACATAATGAACCCAAGGATGCCTTCTGAAAGAGTTCACTTTTTGATAAATATTGCATATCTCGATGTCTCATAACATCTCAGGTTCTCTTGGAGGTGTTTTTCCATTTTCTCTCTTACCACTGTTGAGTTGTGTTATTTACGGTAGGGTCAGTGAAAATTTACTTTTATTTGGAGACCTAAAACATTTTTACTCATAAAAATGCAAATGTGAATAGTGTTTCTTTCATTGTGTATATTCATCACATTTTAAGAACTCCGGTAGTTAGTGTACTTAGTTACAATTAGACAGGACAAATGTTCCCTAGAGGAGTAGAATGATTATAGATAATGGTAATGGAATATATATCTCAAAAGCTAGAATATTCTGAATGTTCTTAGAACAAAGAATTAATAAAGCTTAAGGACCTAGACTGCATATCCTAATTTGAATGGTACACAGTGTATACATGTATTGAAACATCACATGGTACATTAAATATGTATATGTTTATGTGTTAAGTAAAATACATATATAAAAAAGAAAATCTGATTTTACAGTACTAGTGAACACATTCATTATATTGCAAAAATTGTTACTTAGCTGATCGTTTTTATTCAATTATACTGACATTTTTATTTCATTCTCCCTGTCCCTTCAAATACAAAGAGTTAATCCTGTAAAGACTATTTGAGGCATTTGGTATGATGTTCTGTATTAAAACATCACATTTTAAGATTATGTAAATCAAGTATATAATATAATATTTTGTAACCTTCCATAGGGCCAATTGCATAGGTTTGTGAAAAATGTAAGCCACACTGTAACTGTAGAGATGTAAGAAATCAAACAGGGCATAATCTGTCTGGTTTCTTTTGTTGTTTCTGTGGCACTAATGAAAGATGTCTCCTTGCTCTTACACCCTTACTTGCCACAATCTGTAGATTTCAGTCCTAAAGGAAAGCCAAAGCTCAGAGAGCCGTGAGCTGGAAATGCACATTGAACATTCAACTCATCTGTTCTGAGAACCCTTCTCACAGCCTAATGTTACAGAGGAGGAAGGAGAGGCTGAACAAGACCGAGCAACTTGACAAAGTCATATTTCAAGCAAGTGGCAGGGCCTACACAGGAGCACATGCGCTGTGCCTGTGAGCTGTGCTCTGCCTCCTCCGCATGTTCTGCACTGGATGATGGTCCAGAATAAAACTGGGAGGAAACCAAGGAACAGCAAACTCGACCCCAGAAGGAAAGGAAGGTATTCCTTCTCTTAGGTTACGAACAGGTACAGTTCTAGCACTTTTTTTACTATGTTGTTTTTCACAGATACTTCTCCACATGTCCTTGTTGGTTCTTACTTAAGTGTAGACCTCAGTGAAGTTTCTGCCCTTAAACGGAGAAGGTGGTTGGTGGTATCCATGGTTGCATGATTAATTTCTTAAGTCACTTATGTATAGTTCCCATTGCCAATCCATGAATACCGGTGTCCTAAAATCTATCTTTCCTTTCTTCAAAACTATGTTTTAGAAGCAACAGCATTTGCCATAGCACAAAATTCCTCTCCCATTGCCAGTTCCACAAGCAAAAGCTCCAATCACCATGCTCCATGAGAAGCCATTTTGCCAGCACTGTTCAATTTAAATCTTCCAAAGATTCTTTTTCATAGCAAATATCATTATATCTGAGTGAACAATGGTCCTATTATCTGTTGTCAAAAATAGATCGTTTCTGATTTTCTGGTGTTTTCCAATCTTAGTTTATGGGCTGTCAGTCTAACACCTTCACTGACTCGTAAATGTATCCATTTCACATGTACTTCCATGACCCTGTTCATTTTCTCTGCATTCCAAGGCCGTTAGGCAAATGTTATCCATCACTCGACTTCTGTGGATCCACATCGCCTTCCCTGACAGCAGGAATGACCCATATGGTTCACCCAAAACGTATAACATCTGGGATTTGATTCTTACTTTGAACCTTTTCCATTATCCACCAGCAGCCAGAAGCTATACACTACGTGTGTTCGGATTTACTTTACTTACTCTGCTACCTCTGACTTCTCATTAAAGTTCTACATTTGGTTAACTTCTTTTTTAAAAAAAAATTTTTTTTTTTACTTATTTATTTTGGGTGGGCTGAGACAGGGTCTTGCTATGTAATTCAGGCTGGTCTTGAACTCACTATGCAGCCCGGGCTGGCCTCAAACTTGTGGTGATCCTCCTGCCTCAGCCTCCTGAGTGCTGAGTGCTGGGATTACAGGTGTGCACCACCACACCTCACCTGGCTGGCTAAATGACTTTTTCCAGCAAGTTTGATATGAGAATTAAATGAGATAAAGTTCATGAAAATAACTGTAATGACTGGTAGCACTGAGCAGGAGCTACACACAGGTGTTGGGATTGAGATCCTCGCAGATTCCCCTTTGTATCTGGTACTATCAGTGCCTTTAAGGATCGGTGTTAGGTACCACATTTCCTACTTCCTTGCCCTCTGCACTCTGATTTCACTTTATCCCAACACTACCTACTCATGGCATTCTTTTCAGTCCAACAAACTCCAAATACCCCTTTGCTTTCTTTTCCTTTAGTCGATATCAGTCCCATGATTTTAGCTCTATGATATACCTAAAAATCATTTCTTTCCATCTAATCTAAATACAAGCTTTTCTTCTCTTCCTCAGACCCTTCTTAAGTTCCATTCCCTTTAAACCACCTTGTGCAATAATTCCAATTATTTCTCTTTTCAAGCTTCCCTGAGGACCAACCAAAGTGAAATCCCTGCAGAGCCCTAAGAGATGGGATCAAAAAATAGTTTTTAAATTAAAAAAATTACAATAAAAACATATTGTCATTAATCGCCCTCAAAATATCCCCACTTGCTTTGAGTTGTTCTTGCCACTTTCTGAAGCAATCTTGGAAGTGCTTTTCATCCTCGGATGCACTGCCATAGCTTCCCTGATGTACTGAGTCATTCAAAATTTTTACCTTTTATGGTCATTTGGACTTTGGAGAAAAGTCTGAAGTCACACAGCATTTGATCTCACGAATAAGGTAGACAGATGAGAACACATGTAGTATGTCTATGATCCTGTCTTTATTGCCTGGAAATCAGCATCAGCACTCACTGTAGTTTTGGTCATATCTCCTAAAAACACTCAAGAAAGAGCACTTGCAGAACTGCTTCAGAAGGTAGGAAGAATAATGGGATAAGTGTGTTCAAAAGAGGAGCAGTACTTGTAGGGAATTAATGGCAATGTGTCTTGGTTATAGCTTTTAGCTATTAAGTATTCACTATATTTTTCAATCACTCTGTGTATGTCTGGAGGATAGACCTGGTGTTAATTCTAAGGATTTAGAAAAATATAGGCCTGGGTTTGAAACCTATGTATGCCACCTTGGGAGACCAGACAAATCACTTCAACTCTTTGTACCTTAATTATTTCACCTATGACAAGCATGATAATATACACTTGTGAAGGCTTTATTCACATTACACAGGATATTTCAAAAGCCGAGCAGAGATTAAGTTTTCAACACTTGGTAATAACAAAGGGTTAAGGTTAGATGTTAATGATTAGGCTGAAATTGAAATTGATTCAGTTCAAAAATTTGTGATTCTGGGTCTTAATATGACTTCAGCATAGTATGCCTTTTTTGCCAATTTCCACACAGACATTTCCAACCACTGTTCGGAGGTCCATTTTAAATTTTAGGTATTCAGGAAGATCTTTGATATTCATTTGTAAGTATGTCACTGATAAGAAATAATGACAGATAACTATGACACTTATAGAAATAACGCCATTGTGCAGTTATCTTTTACAGTAAAAGAGAAAGTAGAAAATGAGGTAATATGTGTATATTACTTCATTTATCATTTAAACAACCCTAAAAATGAATTTTATAAAGAAACTGAGATTCAAAAAACTTCAAACAAGCACAGGATTTCAAACGTAGCTTTCCTGATCTGCCTAGTTGACATGGTCTGCCTTAGTTCTCGGTATGCTATCAAGGTCCGTTAGTTTCATTGAGAATTTATTTATTCATTTATTTTAGCTATTTTCACTATTTGTGAAGACTAATACTTCTTGACTTGCTATTTTTTCCTTAAATGTCTTCTAAGGAACAAAGCCAATTTTCTTATTTTTAAAATGGAATGAAGTCCATTATATCTTGTAATTGTTATGTGGCATCAATGGAGAATTTTAAAGATTCAAGGCACATTATGGTATCCCTATGATCATATTTTTCTTACATATTGAACATTTTCATCAATTTAGTAGTTATTTTATCATTATTTATCACTTTTTACCAATAATAACTAAGACCAAAATAATAAGAAACCATTATAATGATGGAATTCTCTGGAGGAAAGGGGCAGTCATAAAATACTTCTTGCTGTGCCTGCTTCATGCAGGTTTCTGACTGTCCGGACTAAAGTGCTCCATCATCACTGAGGAAGATAGAAAAGAAAGATGGGCACTGCCTTTTCAGCCTATTTTTAGTTTTAAATTCAGAATTTGATTTTCCATCCACAACTGCCCTAAAAAATGACAGAGGAAGATACTGCACAATTATTAGATGAATCAAAAAATGAATGCGAAAAGACATAGCAACGAGCTAGACGCTAATGATTAGACAGAAATTGAAATTGATTCTACAACTGAGATCTCAGCTTGAGTCATCAGATGACAATGAATTTTCTCAACTCCAAGCATCAATGAATAAATAATACATATAAAAAGATAAAAAGAAAATATGGTATTTTCATGCAGTCAGCTCTGTAGCAAGGCAGACTTCACTGTGCTGTGTTTTGTGACAAGAGCCTGAGCCATCCCATTCTACTAAAACAGCATGTTAGAACAGTCCTCCGGTCTGAAGTCAGTGTTCCAAAATTTATGCTTTTTAAGGGCATAAATGTTAAAGTTCAAAGCAGGTATCGGGAGGAAATAGGCAACATGTAAATCACAGACTGGATTATATTTTTCATTCTAATTGTTTTTAAACATAAAAATGGAGACATTTTGCTAATATAGAAAGAAGATGATGACTTTTTCTTTTTAACAAAGTCCTTGCCATTAGAGATTTCAAAATTTACACTATTGCATTAGATGATAGATAGATAGATAGATAGATAGATAGATAGCAGACAGATGATAGAGTACTGTTAAAACCAGAAACTATATAAAATAAATATGTAGTTTACTACGCTTAAATTCTCATCAAAGTTTTCACTATCACTTCACTCTGACTCTTGTAAACTATAAAATGATTTAAAATCATTTAAAAGACTATATTGTAGGTAGTAATAACTGTTCCTGGTATGCTGAAGTTAACAGTATGTTTTCTGAGTCCCCCCTGCATACTTATCAGGCTATCACTTGTTGTGCAATTATTTGTGTCTTATCTCTCCACTAACAGCTGACTAAGGTAGCTCAACAAATACTCTTTTGATTAAACATGGTAACTTCCAAAGCTTTTGTTGTATAAAAATAATTACATGTTCAGTGGAATTAAAGTGAGGCTTTTCAGAGACAATCATTTACCTTGGAGCAAGACTTTTTGGAAAAGGATAAAGAAAGCCTGAATTTTACCAGGCTTTCTCTAACACAGCAAGGTGAAACACATTAGGTTAAACCATTTAATAACAATGACTAAACTGCAACTACATTTGACCTCTTCTGAGCAGGATCAAGCCGGGAATGGAGCTGAGTATCACTGAAGTTCAAGGAAAGGATCTTAATAAAATGAAGCCAGTAACTCCTTGCTGGTTTTTGGAACTGTGGACTTAAAACTCATTGAACTGGAATATAGGCTGGCAAAGAATAGCTTATTATGCTCAGAAGAGATTTTGGTAGGTGAGTACCCTCAATTTTAGGAAAATAAATGACACAGAAAATGGAATAAATTACCTTAACATAAATGTGTGGTTCAAGTATAAGTCAGAGAGTTACAGAACTGCAAGGGCGGGGAAACTGCTAAGGGATAAACTTTAACTATACTTTAATTATAACAGTTACAAAGATGAAAGCTGGGAAGAAAGTGTTAAAATTACTAACCCAAAGTATACTACCCCTGATCCTCATTCTGAGTTTAAATTGGTTTCATTATCTATACTAAGTATAGGAGGTCTGGGAGCAATGCGATTGCTCATTTATAGAAATCCGTCTCTTCTTTAACTTGGATTACACTGTGGGAAAGTCTATGCAATTCCCTAGTCCAGGGAGAAGTGGATGAAGAGGGAATATAGACCGAGAAACCAGATTGTGACATTTCTTTCAAAGAATCAATAAAATGAATGAAACTACCGGGATGACTGTTGCTTAAGAAAAATGTGCATATCCATAAAATATTGAAGAACAAATTGGAATCACTAGGATATCAACACAAGGAATTGCACTTTAACTATCTGTACAATCACTTTCTAAACAAAATCAAACAAAATTGAACAAAACCCAAACACAGCATCCCAAATTGAGTCTCAGTTTTCCAAAGTATGTCTGTATTGGTCAGTTTTAATTTTCTCATTAGAAAAATCAACAATTTGAATTCCTAAGGGAAAAGTGGGGTTATCAGCTCTACAAAAGCCACCAGAGGACGGGGGCTGCCTCCCACCCCATTCAAGAAGGGCTGTTTCAGACATGATCTCCAACACTGACACCTTGCCAAGGGGTAGCAGGGGAGATCGTTCAGCCATGAGAGGGCAAACAGAGTTCTATTTCTATTGACAGAAGAACTTCTCTGTCCATCGTAATTCTAAAAAACTGTTGTTTGAATGTAGCTATATGTCTTCTCTAGCTGCCCATAGAGAAGGCTTGGTAACACATATTCACTTTGTAGATTTAAATGGAAGTTTCTTATTACTGCAATTTAATGGAAAGTAAGGAAGTACCAGAGACTTGTAATTAGGTACAACAAAATGATCTCATCCTTACAATTTTACTTATTAAGGTATATCTATAATTGAGTGTGGACTGTCACTGACCATTATGTATTGCATTTTCTTTATTCACTATAGAGAGTCAGAAGGAACAATTTAATTCAACTTCAGCTTTATAGACTAAGAGTTAGCTAAAACTTTAAATGATATCTTGCAAGTATTTTATTCTCCAAATGAACTAATTTGGGCCGCTTCTGAGAGTGTGACAATATTCTACCAGGGAATTACTTAGTCCCGCAGGGGAAAATCAATGCTAGTTTTAAAAACTCATTACCAGTAATTAATAATGAACTCCATCTAAACACTAACAGGTGTTCCACTAGTCCCAAATAGAAGCAGATGGAAGCACAAATGTTGTATAAATAGTGGAAGCGCGCAGAGCAGTAAACTTGGCAGGGATTGTTTTATTCTCTAATTGTTAGTCACACTCAAGGTCTTATCACCCGCGTTTTCTCTAGACTCCCAGATTAAATCTGTGTCTATCACTCCTTATTTTTGGAACTGCACATCATCGCTGGTGCTTTGTCACTGCACTATATGTACTGCCCCACTGGCAGGGATAATGCTTGTGAGCGTCCCTTTGGTATATCTATGAAACATTATTCACGAAACCTCCTCCATCCCCCAATTCCCTTGTTGCACATGGACAAGCAATACCTGTGTGAACACACTTTCGTTTCTTAAACTTTCAAAATAATGCATGTAGAAGGGTGAAATAAATTACAGAAACCGACAAATCAATAATTGGTATGAAATAACTAACTTTCTATAACTGCAAATTATTTTCAGGAGTTGCAATATTCTATGGAGCTGTAGATTTGAATCTGTGCTTAGTCTTCTGGGCCTTGAACATACAAGGCACTGCCTTACTACGGAGTTAAACTCCCAGCTCTAAGTCCATGATTTTTTACAGTATGTCCTCATATGTCTCAAGAAGGGCACTCTGTGTTGCCATCAGTGAAATTCTCCATAATTCCTGCACAGATGGTTTTTATACTTTTGATCTTCAGCTATTTCATTTTTCAGACAGAATCAGTTGGTAATTGTGACTGTTAAACAGCTCATATCCTAAGCTAGATTTCACGCTGCATGGTTCTCCTTATCTTAGGAGGTATATTTTACAAGCAATAACTAAATTCTATGAATAATTTCAGTGGCACAAACAACACACTATTTTTCTTAAATAATGAAATTTAAAAACTAATAGAATGTAAACAGCACAATGTATATTAGTCATTAATCGTTTCATGCTCAGTGGTAATGTAGATTGCACATCATCAGTCAGCTTATCATGAAAAATAATGCACAGAGAGTATGACTTTCTTAAACTACCACAGCTAAGCAAAATGGACGACACACCTATGCTCAAATTGAACTTGTGGTGCACATGCATCTTACATCATTAATGGTGAGCTATCCTTGCCTGGACCACTTATCCAGACAGACTATTGTGGAAGTAGTGAATTACAAGGAAATTTATAAGGACACTTAGTTGTATGCCTGCTAGGTTCTTTGTCAGAAAGGTCAGGTCGCTCCTGTGACCTCTGTTTTATATGTAAGTGCTGGCAGATGACTGGAGTTTGGTGGTTTGCTTCAGGTCTCATATTAGAAAGAGGTAATGTTAGGAATCATGTCTGTGTTTGTGTTCAATGCTCTTTATTTTCTATTACATTATGATCTTCTTCAGTACCTCTATGTAGTTTTACTGCACATAATTTATGTTACTGTATGTAAATATTGAGCGTGACCAATTCCATCAGGTCAGATACTATAATTTTAATCTTAGTTTCTTCATTTCCAGTGTCAACTCAATAAAAATGTAGTAGAAAAAAGGGCGAAGGAGGACAGGTAGCAGGAGAAGAGGAGGAGAAAAGGAGGAGGAGGAGGAGGAGGAGGAAGAGGATACTATCTCACAGAAGTTACTGACATTAAGATTTCCAGAGAGCTAAGTTTCTGATGATATCTTCAGTTTCTAAGGTCTAGATGTATCATATATTTGCTTCAGACATGATCTGCCTATTTATCAATACATACACAAATACAATTCTATATTTCAGAAGGACTTCCAATAGACAGTGAAAGAAGCAAAATATGATTTTCTCTCAATAAAAAGCGTCAGTGCTCTAATGTAAGCCAACCCCTGCCTTAATGACACCACCTTTGTAGAAATGTTTCCCCAAATGTGGAAACGAGTTCCTTCATCTTTTTAACTCTGCAAAAGGCACAGGGCAAGCAATCAGACTAATTACTTCAACTAAGAACCCTTCCCGCTGTGTGGATGGCCAACTCCGGGGAAGAGTACCTCCACCACCGGCATTCTGAAGTCACCAAAGAGCATACGCAGATGAGAAAATCAAAATCTTTGGGGACGGAAATGAAGCATTTGAAATGAGATAGATTTAAATTTGGATTTTGCTCACTACTCAGATGGGAAGAATACGTCCATTGTCCTAGATCTTTTTTCTGCTTCTACCAAGAATACACCAAGATGATTTATTGCTTTGCTCCAAGATATTATTAAAGATATTAGCATTTTTACATATAAAGATATTAGCATGTTTTAGCTTTCGGCTGACTTCATTTGCAATAGGCCATGCAATGACTGAGAGTAAAATGAAAGACCTTCATGCCAGTTATTATTTCTGCTTTTTATTGGCTTTACACTCTGCACATGCATTATGCAAATTTTCAAAATGAAAATACCATTTAGTACATAGAAAAAGCCAACAAAGACTGTTAAAACAGACAATTACAAGAACTGTTTGGAATACCTGGTTTTAAATCCCCATGGACAAACATGTCAATCATATATCGACAGAATGCATACTGATCTGACAGAGTAGAAAGAAAAAAAAGCAATGAAAAAGTGTCATCAGCTGTTCTCTTTTTTCTATGTTGAAATGGTTTACAAAACACAAAATAGCACACTTCTATTTTGCATACTACACATTTTCTGCGAAGTAATAATTTTCACTCACATGAATATACAAGGAGGACGTAATAAATATAATGCTTCAGTTATTCCACACAGAAGTAACTCTAAGTGTTGAACTAGACTAGTGCAGATAACATTATCATGGTTGATTTTAAAAGTCAGAACATTTTTCATCAAATTTGCTACAAAAGTCATCATATTAGACAATCGTTTTAATTTCTCTCCTTATAGACTTATAATAGTGAAACTAGCTTTATGAAGGAAAATTATTCCAACTTGGAAGAGTTTACCATTCACTTTTAGCGCCTCTACTAGGTAAGTGAAATTGCAGAGTGTTTTTTTTTTTTTTAATTTTAATTTTTATTTTTATTTTTATTTTTTTGGTTTTTTCTCCGGTACCGGGAACCAAACTCACGACCTTGTGCTTGCCAGGCAGGCACTTTTGCCGCTGAGCTAAATCCCCAGCCCCTGCAGAGTGTTTTCTAAAGAACTTCAGGAGTGCAAACCCTTCCATGGTCTGTTTGGGGCCCTCTGCATAGAAATCCATTTAGTTGAAAGGTAAATCAGGAAAAACAGACTAATAGCAAATTATATCATCAGTAAGCTAATTAACTGAGTAATCTTCGTAGGATAATTTTATGATTTTTGACTAGTCTATGGCTGATGAGGAAAATTTTTAAAAGCATATTCTGTAGTAAACATTTGGGGCAGACACTGTCAAAAATAATTTCAAGAGTTGGGTAATTTTTCCTTTAAATTAAAGACCTTATACTGAACTTCAAAGTCTCACACAACTTGCCTGTGGTCTTCAATGATAAAGATTCCATTGATAAAGACTCTTAGAAGATTCTCTTAAGTTTTACCATAGTTTGCAGTGTTATTTATATTTTCATATCCCTAAAATAGACATCTTATTAATCCACCAAACCCAAAGGCATCTTTAGGACAAAGAAATTTTATTGACTTTATACAACAGTACATAATTTAATTGCTTCAAAATATGTATATCAAACAAGACATAACAGCACATGTTACTATATACATACACATTCCAGGATTTTTGTATGTTTTACTCTTAAAATATTAGCATCTTTTAAATCAATTTTATTATGGAATTATGCCAGATTGTTGGAAAACCAAGTAATTATTGCACTAGATCAAAAAAATATCATTTTCATTACACCTCAATGTAAGGCAAAACCCATAAACTCTCAAAATGTATGTGCAGTTTGATTGTTGAAATAGAATGCATTTTCCCGCATGTGAGCTGGGGAGGGAGAGGAGCGAATGTTCATCCACAGATGAATCCGTGAATCTACTTGCTTTTTCGAGCACTGCAGTCATAGGTACAGTTTCAGATCCCAGGACCTGAGTGTGCTGTGCTCTGCTGTGTTGTGGAGGAAGAGGAAGCCTAATGCAGTAGATTGCTCTTTGCTGGGTAAGATTTGCCTTTAGAGTGGGTGATTTTGTTCTAAGACAAAACAAGACGGAAAGGACATTATTCTTAAATGAAAATGAATTGGACCAATGGGACACTGTCAGCCTTTCCACTTTGCTTCAATACCGTAAGTGATTGTTCTTTTAGGTTTGTCCTTCATATAACTCAGGAGTACCTCTTAAGTGGCGACTGAACATCAGAAAAGAAAAGTCTGTCAAAACGCAGGTGTATGGAATCTGTCATCCAGAAAATTTTTAAGGCCACGGATCTGCAGGTTAGGAATATGCATTTTTAACAGACTCTCCGATACACCCAGTTCCACTACAATCACTGAGGTAGAACCCTCACTTCTTTCCACAGTGATTTCCAGTAACACTATAGCCTTCTGGGGCAGCGAGTGAGGTTGTCTGTTTTTATACATGTAGCTTTAAAAACTAATTTAGCTTTAAAAACTAATTGCTGCTGAGGATGGGGTACATGTCTGGTGTTCCAAGGATGATTCTCACACTTTCAGTGAGCAAGTCTGTTTTTATACATGTCTGAAGGTTAAAATTCAAACCTAATTAAAATTACAAAACCCCCCAAATAAAACATTGTTCTGTGCCCTGGTTGTGACGGGGTGACAGAATGGATGGAATTGACAGTACTGAATTAGCTAAAATTACACTTCTGTTTCCTCTTCAGCTGAATAGTCAAAATATAGCAAAACCTTTATAATTACTAGTTTTTTCTTAAGGACTGTGCTTATATTTATTATACTAATAATTTGTGGCTCCAAAAGTCATTCATTTAATTAAGGCACCAACAGTCCATTGAGCATCTAACTTGTACAAGCAAACCTGTGTGGATTCAAAGAACTTTTTTCAATCTGGAAAATCTTTCAGGGCTTTAAACGATGTGGTTCTGGTAAGTAATCCTGTGATCCTGCATAGTGATGTCACCAAGGTATCTGAGAGGAATGTTTAAAAATGCTTTCAACTATGAAAGCTGAGCTATTTTAGGTTAGGATGCCCATCCCCAGCTGTCACGAGGGTATAACTCAACAATGAGTAGCAGTTCGAGGAAGGTAGGCATCAGGCAGTCTCCAGAGTCTGCTTCACCTGCCTAAAGATGGGACAAAGTCAAGCCTTCCTGATTTTGGAAGACTTGTTTTCTAGAAATTCTTCTTTAAACCCACCTCAAATAATGAAGCAGGAGAGTTTTGCTAAAAAAGCCTGAACTGCCTCATCAGTCTAATTCCCAGAGTTAGGGAACAAGAATTTTAATAAGCTAATTGCCTGTGTGGTCATCACTTCCAAGTTTTTTTTTTTTTTTCCTAAATAAGCACTCTTTCAGGATGATCCATGCTGTTCATATCTCTCTTTCCTGATCCTCAGGGACCAGGGAACAGGTGTCACTCAGCTGCTGCTGTGCCCATGTGTCATGGAGTGGCAGCTTAGGGAAATGTGTCCTGGGCCCAGAATGTCAACAGGAAGGAGTCATAAAAAATAATTGCTACTGAGGATGGGGTACACGCCTGGTGTTCTAAGGATGATGCTCACACTTTCTCTGCCTGTCACAAAAGTATAAATAAGTGTTAAGGAAAAAAGCAAGGAAAGAAAAAAATGAGCAATTGTGTACTGGCTGGGATTGTCTTTGCCTTTCCCACAGACTTTCCAGAAACTACCAGAAAGGAGGAAGCAATGTCTGTTCATGCCAAAGCTTCTGACCACAGGAGGAATAGTTTACAATTGGTCCACATATGCTTGATTATGTGATATATTAGTATGTGTAGATTTACGGTAGGATGTACATAAATATACATCTTATTCTCAATGCTGAAAATATTTATATATTTACTGTCTATTAAATAATTATTAATCCATGTATCTCATGTAGGTCTACAAATGAATGAAAGACCTATTTGTTTAGATGAACTACTTACAAATCTACATGAATAGAATACTTCAAATTCATTAGATCACTGAAGCTAAGCAAATAAATATTTCCTTGACCAAAGAATTAAATCTATTTTACTAAGTCATGAATGCAAGAATCTCAAGCTCAAAACCACCCCATACCTTTTAAAAACACCATACCTTTATCTTGCTTATTTAAAATATCATATGATAATTTTTAAAATTAAGAAATGCTCTCAAATCTTTTCTTAGAAGAAAATTTATATGTTTATGTCTGACCAGTCATTATCAGTTAAGTTTTTGTGACTTAAACTAATGGTACAGTACTTAATTGATGGTAGCTCTTCTTAACAGGGAGCACTTATTTAATAATAGCATTTGCTTAGCTGATAAAATCATATTTATACATTTGTGTATAACTCTATGTGACATTTGAATGTTTTTAATAGATAAACAGTTTTCACGTAGAAATAAAAACAAAATTGAAAATGGAATGGTAATATAATGCTATCATTACAAATTTAATTATGGATAGCAATAAAATGTACTATTTGTGATCTGGAAAATAAATATTATTTGAAAGTGTCCAGGTGATATGCCTTTATCAATAAAATTTGTCCTGGATGCCCCAAAATTACTAACAATAAAAGCCTAAAATATGTTTATTGTTATATTTATCAAATATTTTGATATTCCTCTGTATAACTGGCACACATTTTTATATGCTGTATTTGGAGATGAAAAATTTACACTATACTTAGTGTGTTTTAACTGGTTTCATGTGATTATTTTCTTCTTTAAAGGGTAATCTAAAATGCAAAGTACTTTATGATAAAAAAACATAATAGTGAATCATAAGAGTAATTTTCCTATTTTCTATTATAATAAAATATTCCATTCAAAGTAATTTTTAATTTCTTTACTGTGTCCTTTTTCTACACAAACTACTCCAAATATGACATACTTTAAAGAGATAACTAATTTTTAAATTTTCAAGACTATATAATTATCTTGAAAATGGAATAAAAACTTAATGCTCTAAAATTTGAATTCACTCATAAAGTGTTAGATTGAGATAAATGTAAATCACCTAAATTATAGTTTGTAAATCACCAAAAGGAAGCAAAGGCTCTTTCCTCTTTTCTTTCTCCCTTTTAAAATTTGTATTTAAAAATATCTTTTTTATATGAATCCAAGTTTACAATATTACTGCGTGTCAAAGTTTACAAATATTGTTAATTTGAGGAAAAAGATAAAACTACAAATAAATAATAATAAAATACAAAAAGTAGATTACAAATTTTATATCATGGACCTTACAGTGAGGAAAAACGGTCAGTTTCACTACCCACATGGCTGACTCAGTAATAATGGATTAAAATGTTTTAATGTAAGATCTCATAGAAGCCAATTCCTTGACTTTGGCCCACTAATAAGATGATTCAATTGCAACCAGAGTTACAGGAAATTTTATTCTGCAACAGCGTTACAAAACATTATTTACAGGAGCTGTGTGCACAGACTGACTCATGTTCTGGGTGGACAGTTGCAGGGTGTCCACCGGGACTCGGGGTGGTCTTAGCGAAGAGCAGAACCAGCAAGCTCCAGAGGGGTGAGACACAAAGTCGCTCAGTGACCCCTCAGAACACCCCGCTAAGGGCACCTTCCGTGGATTCTATTCCACATCCATCCCAGTGCCATGTTCTGGACACGGGATATGTTTGACATCTCTCCTGCTGCGGAGGAGCATGTGTCCTGTGTAGCGTTTTGAACTCACCAATTTTGCCGGTGAAAACTGTCACCGAGCCTTGAAGCTCATTTTTCTATAACTTGTTATTAAATTAAATGAATTTTAACTTTTAGTAAGAATGTTATTAAATTAATTTAATAATTTGATGTATATTCTAAATAATAGGCTCCTGTAGAGGCATATAGAAGTCATACAAGACTTTTTTGGATATTTATTCTCTGGGATTTGAACACAGACTCCTGAACAAACACCCTGAGAGTTGCTGTCACTTTTTTCTGGACTGCTTTTGTTCCAACAGCACGACAGCCACAGCGGTTCCCTTGTTATTCCACCTCTTTGGGAAAATTCGCTTCCTCCAGAATTCTCAACAGTTACCACCGACTTTTAAATAGCTCCAGATGATAATTCAAACCCCATTTGAAAAATACTTCAGAATATATCTTTACCTATGTGAACACGTTTTAGTGTTTCTATAAATACATATTAATTCTCCACTGATCACGCTTCCGGTCAGGCATGTTTACTTGCGTCAATCTCTGACCCACGTTTGAAGTCTGACTCGGTCTTTTTCAGGTTTCAATTTCACAGCATCTGCTTCTTGCCCGATATCCTCTTAGCTCCTCTGGCCGCCTCCTCCTGAAAGTGTTTACCTTTCTGATCCTGTTCCCGCGCAGCCGCAGGCTCCTTGCCGTCCTTCCCCTTCGCTTTCGGTGGGGTTTTCTGCACCTCTTTCACCTTTGCTGCTGTTTGCTTCACCTTCTCCTGCTTCGTGCCTTTCACCTCCTTTTTCGGCTTCTCCTCGGTCTTCTCTTTAGTCTTTGCTTTCTTGTCATCTGTACAGAGTCAAGAAACACTGGCTTACTTCTCCTTACGTGCATTTCTTCTATAATTGTCCTTCAACCCAATTTTAAAAAGAGGAAAGAAAGAAAAGTTATAAAAGTACCACCTATGAAATAAATTATCAGTTTCATGTAGTTTATGCAATATTATGTTAGACTTAGACCTTGTCTGACAAACATGTCTTTTTCTTCATTTTTTCATCAAATATTTAACTTTTTAATTGGCATATGCTTGTGATACATAATAGTTACATTTGCCTTGGGGAGCTAATGCATATCCATACTGCACCTACTCCTTCACGCCTTCCGCCCTCCCAGCCCGCCTGTCTCTTCCTCTCCCACCTCCATGAATCTACTTTCCTCTTTCTTAATTTGTACAGGGAAGCACTGATTTTGTTTGACCTTTTTTAAGTTACAGGTGGTCAGGAACTTAGCCCGGCCCGGAAGAGACTTCTGTGATATGCGGAGGATGGGTGCACAAGCATGCTCATGGGAAAGTGTCCGCCCCAAGGAGCCTACTGAGCAGTGTGTTTTTGAAGGAATGACCATATCACTGCATTTGTAAGGACTAGACCCCACCAAAGGCCTTCCGCAGTACTGTAATCCCCCATGAAACTTGCCAATACAGTGGGTACCTTTTACTGAGACTCATGTTAAAGGATTTCATGAGGATACTATGGTCCAGTTTCTCAACTTTGGTGCAGACTACACCAGATAACGTTGGCTTGGGCCATGGAGTGAAGAATAATAGTAACCACTTCTGATCCCAGCAGTCGTGCAAGCCCAGAATCATCTGAGACCCTGTACTGAATGGACCGGGCTAAGGTACTGTTACTCACAGACTGTCCAGAGAGAGGCTACTGCATTAGGGGTCAGAAGTTACTCCTACAGTGAAATAAAATTTGAGCCACCACCAGTTTCCTCACTAAGGGCTTTCCCAAAGGTGAGGTGTGTTGAGAGTTTTCAAGGAGGGGCTCTGTGCTACGCACACCGTGCAGTCGTAGAAGTCTCATACAACGATTACCCACCTCATCAACCTCCAATGACTCTGTGATCACACTAAGGGGATTTTCTTCCACTGCCTTTAAACCATTCCTCAGTGTCCTTTCCTTATTTCTGCCCTTTGCTACATCAGACACATACATTTCTGTGACTGAAGAGAAAAGTAGCTGTCTGAGGACGACTTCCAATTGACATCATTTTGGAACCTCACAGGGAGATGTTCATTACTGTCCAAATGGAGAGAAAGTTCTGCTGCGGTGACCAAAGACATCTCAGATCATACAACTCAGACATATACCACCCAGAACAACCCATCCAGAGAACCTGCTTGGCTTAATCTCATGGTGAGCTGATGGAGCTTCAAAGATCAGGAAAATACTGATAACATCGGAATGATGCTTCTGTAGTGTTGAAAACCCTGCAAATCCTGCGTTCATCCTCTCTCCCCTCACAGAGTCCTTCCCAAGATTTCTTTCTCCACTACCTGACATCCTGTTTCCCCATCTCAGATATCATCTACATGCCAAACAGTGTCAAACGGCAGGGTCTCCATTCTCCAAGTCTTTGATATATCTAAATGCCGTAATACTCACTTCATGCAATAAACGGTTCTGACAATGGAATTCACCGTTCTTTCCCCTCAGCTTTTCTGGGCCTTCACTTTGATTAGAGCTGGCATTTTGTTCTCTACTGTATATCTAGAAATACAGATCACTGTCCATCTCTCTGTCTTCCCTACCAGGTTCCAAGCAACTTGTAAATAAGAATTCTATTATCCACTTTTGCATCACCGTTGTGTCTAGTACAGTGCATTTTTTTTCAGAAAAAAAGATTAAGTATACAGTATTTGCAATTAGCTATTTTGATCAAAGAGTAAATTTTCCCTATCTTGGTCCATGTGTACAGTAATATATGCATGACATGTATAAATAGAAATGTTTAGAATGAATGTGTGAAGTTGGACACATGGACCAGGGTAGACTAGTAAGGGCCTGCTGCTTTGTAGGAAGAAGTTCTGAGAGTCTAGCCATCACGGGCCTCGAGCAGACCGTGGTTTGAACAGAGAAAGAAACTGTCCGTGAACAACAGTATATGGCAGAGGGATTAGGTGAGAGAACCATGAACCCTCAGCACGAGACCCTGATCTCCATCACGCCTGCTTCTTCTCTCTTCTGTAGGAGGAATGAAGCCAGCTATCATGCCAAGGAGATGCACAGGCAGGGGCTGAGGCCTCACTCACACAGCTATTGAGAACCGGACCTTGCCTGCAGCCATGTGCATGGCCTTGGAAGTGGCTATTCCCTGGCTGAGCTTTCAAATGACACCACAGCCCTGGCATGGTTGAGGCTGACTGAGAAACTGTGAAGCAGAGGAATGAACTAATCACATCCAGATTCTTGACTCACAGACACTGTCAGATATGATGCACTGTGACTTACATTTCAAAGTCTATGGTGATGTTTTAGCTAGCGGTAAATAACTAAGACAATATTCAGCATGCACTGACTGAATGAAGAAATCATGCTTGAAGCCTTATTTGTCTGAAAAGAATACTTGATTTACAGTTAAGTCACCTAAACTTTTTAGTGTAATGCAATTATATACTAGTTATAGGATCATGCCAACTTCTTTGTTTTCTCTGGGGTTCAGATACATCATCTGTTATGGTAACAGATTACTTGGTAAGTAATTTATACAACTGATAACACCTCTGCCAGCATTTAGATTTCATATGTATATGTATTCACAAATACACATATATGCATACAAGTTGTACCTATGTCTATGTAATAGGAGAGACCTAGATAAAATAAGATTGCATTAAATATAAATTTAGTCTTCTGATGAAATTGATGTTACCTTCCCAGAAACCTCATTTTACAATTCATCCATTTTAACTTCAATAAAATATTTGGTTTTCTTGTGGTAAAATTTAATTTAAAATACATATGCTTCAAATGTCTAACATTTTATATTGTTGAATAATCACTGAATTTTCAAATTATTTGAACATGCTAGGTTAAGATATCTAAAGTGTACTGATCACATACAATGTACATTTTAAAATATGAGGAAGACATTTACATTTAGAGGATAAGATTGGAGTATCAGTTAAAATCCAGATGTCTCCATCATTTAATAAATGGCAGACAAATGTATGACAGAAAAATCAGGTTTACTTAATCTTTCAAACTACGTAATCTTACAGCCATATTCTAAGTGATTGGGATTGCGAGAGAGAAGACAAGTTACCAAGGTATTTTTGGAGTTCGAAATCTTAAAATATTGATCAAGATATATCTGTGAAAGAATTTTTGAACTTGCAATTCCAAAACTCAAATGCAACTTGCAAACATGATAAAAAGATAAGATGTTGTTTCCTGTTGCTATGGTTACAAATTATCATAAACTTGGCTGGTCAAAGCAACACCCATTTATTTTCTCCCAGTTTCTAAGACTCAAAAGTGCTAGTTCAGTAGGATCCAACCCAGCTCTTTGCTGAGGTTTCACAAGGTAAAAGCAAGCTGTCAACAAGCTGCATTTCTCAGCAGAATCTGTGGAAGAATCGGTTTCTACACTCCTTCCACATGGATGTAGGAGTCATTTCTTTCTCGCGTTCCATGTTGTTCCTGCATTTTTATGCAGCCCAAGTCCTTACGCTTCAGATCTTCCTTTTCTTTTGATCCTGTTTTTAAATACTTTGTGAGAATACATTAAGCCCACCTGGATAATCCTGGAAAATCTCCTTATTTTTAGATGAAGCTCCATTCTCTGTAAGAAATTCTTTTGTCATGGTATGTACCAAACAGTAAGGATGACGCTAAGGGCCAGATCACAGAGACCAAAATTCAGCCAATCATGTACAACAAAGCTCTTGATTTCCTCTCCTGTTTTGACATGATCTGTGGTTTTACCTACTCAGTTTTGTCATTTTTTACATATTAAATTTCATTGCTATGCAAATGCCTACAAATATCTTTACACAAAATGTAATCTATTGAAGGAAAAATAATTTAAGTAAGGAAATAATAAAAGAAGTTACCTTTTGTCTTTGCTTCTGTTTTTTCTTTTTTCTCAATTTTTTCCTTGTGAATTGCTTAAACAGAAAATTTTACATTAGAATATATGTTTAACAGACATCAAAACCAAGTTTCCTCTTGACTTCAGTTTTATAATCACCAAAATGAGAAAATACTTCTGAAGACTTATAACATTGATAAATCTAATTTGGGAATAAAGAGTTCATAGTGAGATAATCATTATGTAGAATTCAACATAAAACTTGGCATTTAGACTTAGAAAACATTTTGAAAGCTAGATCCACCCTCTTTCTTTTTTAAGTCCTTGCTCCAAGTAGTTAGAGATTTCAGGGAAGAAAAACCAAGATGGGACAATTTTATAAGAATTCATCTTTATATCAGGAAGAACGTTTCAGGAAGAATAATAAGAATCTCTAAATCAGGGCTGAGATGGTCATTGGCCATCCTACGCCTTAGAACAAGCACAGCTGGTGTCTGCAGAGGAGCAATGCCTGAAGGGATCGGCTCACACGGGGAAAGCCTTCATCCTCCTGCCACGCCAGTGTCATTTTGACAATCAGAAACATTTTCAAAATGCACATCTTTAATCCCAGCGCACTCTGGAAGGCTGAGGCAGGAGAATAAAGTCCAGCCAGCGTAACTTAATGACTCAGTGAGAACCTGTTTAAAACTAAAAAACACAAAAGACAGTGAGGGGGCTGCTGATGTAACTCAGAGTAAAAGCACTTGGTTCAATCCTCAGTGTGACAAACAAAGAAAAAACGCTTTTCCCAAGATTCCCTAAAGGGTAACATGTTTAGTGAAGAACTAATAACGGTGCAGAAAATCGTTTGAAAAAGGGCTATTGATAGAATTCAGTTTCTTGGCAGAACAGTACCCTACATGATACCTAGAATTTTACAACCTCCCATTCACCAATGGAATTAGTACATCAGCGTGCGCTTCTTTGGGCTTATCTCTTTGTGCACTGATAAAATCTGCATCTCTCAATAGTGTGAATGACAGCGATACTACAAGTACAATAACACGGGCAGCGTGTTCTTATATGTCAAATGTATTAAGCAGGGTGATTTAGTGGTTTCCCTAAAAAGCATATAGTTTTTCAACATCCAAATATAATTTGTTGGAGAATAACTGGGAAAATTAAATAAATTATATGAAATTCAGTAAAACAAATATGTTTAATTAAACACTTAGGAAGGAGCCAAATTAGACCTCAAAACATTTCTATTTGTCCAGCAGTGTAACGCAGCTAGGGGCATCAGTTCTACTCACAAAAGGAATAGAATGTTAGGGGGGCCTAGTGGGAGAGATGTGGGAGTGGCCCCACCCCGCGGGGGGATTCATGCCCTCCTCACAGGGTGAGTGCATCCTCGCAGAAGGTTTGTCTTGTCAGAGCGTATTATGGTAGAAAGTGGGTTTTCTTCCCTGACTCTTGACTATAAAGCAGCAGGAGGAATCTCACCAGGAGGGGAGCCCAAATATGGACTTTATTTTCTAATTTCTCAATCTGTGGTGTTTTATTATAGAAACAGAAGGCAGAGTAAGTTGCAATCTGTGAATAATTCCCCAGAATCTTGGACCAACCAGGAATGCCTCATAGAAAGCAGAAAACAAAAGTCTCAGTGGAAGGCCACGTGACTGAGGGGAAGCTGCCTAAAACCGGGTGCCTCTTCCTCCAGGGATTCGGTCTGCCCAAGAGCCACGTCCACCGCCGGGGTTCCAGGCCATAGCAGCGTGGTCAGCAGATGCGGGGGCAGGGACATACCACCCAGGGCCGTGGGCAGGGAGCACGAGGAGCACTGCAGTGAGGCTAAACAGGGAGCAACTCACACCTGGTCGTGCAACTGCGCTCTTGTACTTGGTAAACAGGAAGAAAAGAGCCCTACACAGCACTTCATTTCTGCTTTTCAATTTGGATAAATATTTTGCAATGTTTATAATTGAATGGTAAAAACATTCTTAATTATTTTTAACAAAGGGTTGGGGATTTAGCTCAGTGGCACAACACCTGCCTAGCAATGTGAGGTTGCAAGTTCAATTCCTGGTACCAAAGAAAAAAATGAGTATAATATTTTTTAACAGAAAAGTTAAGCTACTGTGAAGTTTGAAAAAAGTGATAGACTAAGAGATGTCTATACCCCCAAACACACACACACACACACATGAAAAATGAGTGCGAACAGTTATATAAGAAGAAATAGAGATAATTAAAAGTCATATTTGAATGGTTTAACCTGCCAGTAACAAGCAGCTAAAAGTTAGGATGGAAGAAAATATCTTCACTCAAGTACTAGCCACTTTCTTTTTAGAAGAAGTGAATATTTATTTATAGGTGTGGAAAAAATCTTTAGAACATGTTTTTAAATAATAAAAGTAATAAAGTAGGACATGTTAGATTTTGGTGTAAAAAATAGAGGAAGTAATAATCTGTACCATTCATGATATATTAGGAAAATAGACTGTAATATTAACATAATACAATTATCTGTCATAAAGTACAGTAACGTTAACCATCCATGTAATTACTGAAGTCCGGGGGATGCACACAGTGCTCCATGGGAGGCTGCCGCTGCTGAGTGACTGGGCCCAAAGGTGAGCAGGAGGAGAGGCAGGCTCTGGCCTGAGTCCCAGGGCTGAGCAAGGCGGATGCCTTGCTGTCTATCCTAAATACACAGAAACTGACATCCAAGTACATACTCACAGGTGATTGAAACACGCGAGTTGCAGTAATGAGATCTGCTTTTTATCTATGAAATTGGCAAGTATTTTCTAAAATAATATTTTCTTTGCTGTCTGAGGCAGTCTCAAAACCACAAGCAGAAATGTTGATAAAAAATTTGTAGAACATGAGGTGGTAACAGAGTTCAAAATCCTTAAGTACTTTATCCCCCTCTATCCAGAAATTCCCCCTTTCAGATTCTATCCCAAGGGCAAAAAATCACAATATACTTTTAACAAAGAAACGTAAGTTCCTCTGAAATCTGACAATGAAGAGGAAGTTGAAAGGAGATAATTTAACATTGAAAAAGCAAAAGAGAATAATCACATACCTTTCTTTTCAGGTTTTTCTTTTTCTTTGGTTTTTTCTTTGTCTTTTTCCTTTTCTCTGTGTGTAACTGGAAAGAAATAGATAATACTTTTCATTTAAATGAAGGGATGAATGACAAGATACTTGCATGGATTTTTTGATATCAAAAACTCACCTGCTGCTTGCAGAAATCTTCCTTTAACTGGCATAAAACTCCAACATACTTGGAGTTTTAAACTTCAACATAATTATAGATTTACCATGTTATTTCTAATTTTATTTCACCTTTAAGCACAAACTAGTACCTGAACTGGGTATGACTGCAAAGATAACAAGATTTTTCAACTTTTACAAATCTTTAAGTTAAAAATTTAGATGTGTTTTAAAAGTTACCATGCCAGACGCCAAAGAGCCCAGCTTTGGTATTGGATGAATGCCAGAAATATGAAGACAAGATACAGACATAATCTCTTGAACAGAAGCAAAGAAGACTCAACCTAAATTGTATGTGTTAATCTTTTACAAAAATATTCTGCATAAAAGTTTTTGAAAATGTACTAGAAGGTTAGAATCTTACCAAAACTTTGCAAAGAAAATGAAATTTAATTAGCTGTGATAAAACTGATGTTACAGTAGGATTCAAATTTAAGAAACAGTCTCGCCCCACACTTTAGTCACAATTATTATTTATCATCCAAGTCAGAAATGTGGGATTCATCCCAGCTCCTCCTGTTTCCCTCTCTCTTCCTCTCTCTCTCCCTCTTCTCTCTTTCTTCATTTCACCTAGCTCTTTCAATCTTTTAAACATTCCTCTAGCCCTTACTTTTCTATCTAATATTATATTCCCTCACCTATCATTTATTTACTCAAAAATACAGAAAGAACACCTGCCATGTGCTAAAGACTGCACTAGACAAGACAAATATCATCCCCATCACAGGGGTGCCAACAAGCTAAGAGGTGATGGATGCTAGACAAATAATGCAAAAGGCAGTTAAGGGCAGGCAGTACAATCCTCAGGAAGAGAGCAGGCAGGATTGTCTGTCTGTGTATGAGATGGGACCTAGCTCGCCTGGGTCTTTGAGAAAGGGCTCCTGGTGGAAGTGAGACTGAAGAACATGAGGAAAGTTAAGACTGAAAAACATGAGGAAAGTTAAGAGTTTAGTAGCCGGGGAGTGGGATTGATCAGGGAAAGAGATCAGCACAGAAAGATGGAGCAGGATGTGCATCCTGGACAGGCTACTGTTATGCATTTTACTATAATATCCTGACATCCCTTGAATCTTTTGATTTAGATTTTTTCCACAGTAATCTTTCTAGCACAAGTCTGCTTATATCATCCCCCTGTTATAAATATTAGTGTCCTCTTCATTGCTAGCTTGGTATCTGTCACAGAGTAGGTGATATGTCAGATACAAAAATATTTTATTACTCTAGTCATCTGGCATTTGCTTACCAATCCAATCTTACATGTCAGGAATTTCTCCTTGAAATTTGTATTTCCCAGTTACAACAACATGCTCGGAGCTCCACATGCACAAAGTGTGTCCCATGATGTCCTTGCATTGCTACTTGTTTGTGTCTTTCACCTTCAGTTCTCTCACACATGCATTTCTTTACTTTCCCTCCCCCAGCCCATGGGCCTGTTCAGTCTTGGTTTATATACCTCCTCTGTAAAACTGTCTTTGACTTATGCTTATCACACACACCAACTGTGCCACGTGCATGGTTAGTTTAGAAACTTAACAACAGTATAATTGTTCACGGGTCTGACTACCCACTAGATGAAATCTTTAGGGGATATGCAGGGTTATTTTATTCCTGCATACACGGTTCATTGTATAATACATGCCATACAGTGGAATCTTAATCATAGTTTTGAATAAGTGAAACCCTAAAATATTGTAAAAAGAGCTAGTTTCCTTTTCTAGTGAAATTCTCTTCTATATTTCTCTTCTGATATATATATATATATATATATATATATATCACTGCTTATTTCAACTATTTCAAATAGGTTTTAGTTTTTTTAAACTATCACAAATAAAGCCTAGAGATAAACAGGAGGGGAAAAACATCTTAAAACATCTAGACATTATTTTATTCTTTGCACAGGTAGTGGGTCATGTAGGTGTTTCTGAACTACTAAGTTCAATGTAAGTATCTTTCAAAGTTAGGGGAGGAAATCAACATTTGCAGACTGCAAATAGCTGGGTTCCTTTGGATCATTATTAATTAAGCTGAAAACCAAAAGAAATTCTTGGCAAAAACAAAGCCTCTTTTAAAGTTTCTCTAGGGGGAACCAAGTTTGTGTGAGATAAGCCATGTTTTCAGAGCCCGGACTGGAAAGAGTCCCCAGAGAACATCTAATCTGCGTTCTGCCTCTGTCAGGGACGGAGCTCCCCGACCTCAGCCAGCTGGCTGTCCATTCCACTAAAGGATTTTCAGATTGACGTGTGCACAGGCATAAATGGGAGAAATAATACGAAAATCAAAAGAGCAGGGGGCTGAATTCAGACTCAAATTAGCATATTAACTCCTCTTCCCTATTACCCAGGGGACAGATCTGGTTCCTCCAGTTGAAGTTTGATTTATAGACGCAGTACTGCATGCCGGAATTTCATTCCACCCTTCACACTATAATACAGCTCTGGGACGCAGCTGGAACATGGGCTCTTGGGAGTGATTCACAGTGGCAGACGCCACTGAAACTGCTTGGACGGAGACGTCCAACTTTGCCAAGAGTGCTCCAACACCAAGTTTTGAGATGACTTTCCTTCAGTGCAACAGCCCGTAACCGCTCTGATAATCAGCATAAAATGAAAGTGAACTGCTCCTGCCCCTCCATGTGCTGGTGCGGCTCTAACCCTGGAACCCATAAACAGGAATATCCCATGCAGGAAGAAAAGAGTGCCTCCTGGTCACCAGCCCTGTGTGGCAAGTTCTATCATAGCCAAGATAGTTTTAGCTCAGGACAGAATGAGCTCTTTGCACCTGCTAGAGCTTAATTTGTTTGTCATCTTTATTTATAAGAAACAAAAGCCCCTTTCGTGCGTTGATAATGAAAAGCAAATGGAATGTACCAGTTGGAATGGCCCTGAAGTTTGGCATCAAGCTGGCCTGGGTCTGCTGTTTCAGGATTGTCCAGACTTTGACCTTTCCCTAGCCATAACATTCAGCTCAGCTCAACCCCGAAGTACATCTCTCAGCTCCCCGTGTCTTCTGTCTTCTCCCCAGCATGCCCCCGGCTGGGCTCTGTGCCTCTGTCTTTGATCTCATTGCATTATTTAAAGGGAATCACGGCTCACAGCACCCCTGACCCTGCAGTCCTCACTGGCCTAACACTCCGCAGACACCAAAGAGCAGGAACCAGTTCCTTGGTCAGAGCCCTTGCTTTGTCTGTTTTGAGCTCAAAAATCGAGAGTTTTGATGTGTAAATTGTTAGAGGACTAAGCTGTATATGCTACTAAATTTCCCAATTGATGAGCAGTAAAGAGATTTAAGCACAACTCTGAAGCTCATACTTGATTTCAGAGATACTGCATGAGACTAACAGCTAATAAGCAGATAAATAAGCAATTAGTTTTTCATTTCTTCACTATACAACCTTTGGGAAGCAGGGTAAACTATAACAGAATTTAGTGTTTTTCTTTCAGTGCATTTCTCTGTCTGTCAGTTTCCTGTTTCTTTTATAGGAGAAAATCAATGAATTTTGAATGGGGAAGATTTCAGAAAGCTTCATGAAATTCATGTATTATATATATACATATATATATGTATATATGTTTTCATTCCTCATTTTTAAATGACAGAGCACAATACTCATTTATTTCATACCAATTAAAAATCAAATTCTGCTTCAGCCTCCACTAAACAAAAGTGCCAAAGATAGTCCTGGCTGTCTGTGTGTGTGTGTTGCATTTTTTGTAACTAGTCTGTAGAATTTCAATTCTGTGGCAAGAAATAATGATCTAAGCACTTTAAAAAGATAATAATGAATTCAATAGAAAAAAATTATTGAATAGAAAAAAACTTCAAAAAGATTATAGTAGGAGCTGGGGATTTAGCTCAGCGGCACAGTGCCTGCCTGGCAAGCACAAGGTCGTGCGTTCGATTCCCGGTATGGGGAAAAAAAGAAAGATTATAGTATACCTTCTTTGTAAAAAGAAGAATTTATAATTTTAACTTTAACAATTGCACAGAGTTTTAGAACTGGTAAGGTCATAAAAGGTCAACTAACCTAAACTTCATTGTGGTGGGTAAGCAAACAGATTCAAGAATCCAGGGCAAAGTAATGAAAGAATATAATTACATGATTATTTCGTTCCCAAACTGTGCTAACTTGTCCCTTCCAATTTCTGTGTAGACCATACACTTGTTCTTATAAGCCCCAGAGTACTGGTTGGAGTTTGCAGGCCTGTAACCTAAAATCTACTCTCAATAACGCACACTCTGTTTTATAATAAAATTATCTTACTTCTATATTACAGTGAAAATTTAGTAAAATATCCAAAGATAAAATCTCACGTGACATATATGCTTTACATCACAATGTAGATGTTTTCATTTCTGAAACATTGGTTTTATTCCCAAATCCGATGTGCTTGTAAGGACAGTTCCCCTCCCCTGGGGCTTTGAAGCCACAGAAAGAATCACAACCACCTCTGCAAACCAACAGCTACCAGCACGGCAAGGATGCACAGCTCTGCATGGAGCCTTCGTTCTCATTTTCTAAGTTTATCTTTCATAGCTGATGGGAAGGGAAGTACGTACATCTACTGCACTTTAGGGAGTCCACTGGGTACTACTGAGAGGAGACAAAACAAAAGCTTGTATAATCCAGGGAGCCTAAATGAATTGGAAGTCTTTAAGAGCATTTTGATAAAGGGCTCACACAAATTTAGATATAGGTTCGTGTTCCGTTCTTGGCTTCTGGGAATCACCACCTGCCAAGTCCCCTGTCTGTTTATGACTCCAATCCTTCAACTGTTTCCCAGAAGTAGGAGGAGTTCAAGGCAGTTAAAGATCACTGCTCAGAGATTACCCTTTAGAAAACAGACTCAGGTTTGTGCACGTGAACTTCTGTAG